ATGTTAGGATAATAAAAAGACAAACCAAAATAAGGTCAATTAAACTTACAATTCGTTCCCCTAGTTGATAACGACCTGCATTGTATCTGGCACCGGGGAGGCTATCCCATATTTCAACTTTTTTATCACCAATATGCACAACTACCAAATACCAATGCTTCCCAATTCGATCGTAAACGGGAATGAAAATCTAGGACCACACTGACTCGCTTAGAAAAACACACAAAACAAAAGTGCACTAAAGATGTTGTAAAAAAGAACTTAAATTTATACCTTCTGGCACTTGTGAAGGCGTAACCGGTTTGAATTTTCCCTTTTAAGTTTGACCCCCAATTCAAAAAGTTGGTCATCACTTGTATTATTAACTTGCTCCTACATTCACATATAGTGTAAGCGTAAAATCATTTACTAAATCACAAACTATAAGAGTTTGAAAAAGATGAATGCTTACCGACATATATGTGGGGAAGTACCAATTCCCCGACCCCTTTTCTTGTAGATAATAGACTTGTGCATTCAGTACTTGATCGTTTATCCACATTTCGGGCCTCAAGCACATGAACTCATTTCTAGTGACATGATGTTTGTTTTGAATTTGAATTATAACTTCATCACTACAACGGAAGAAGAAAGCAATTGGTATAATTAAATTCACGTACACGACAACATATAAGGAATTTGGTCGATTTCATAATTCAACAGTTGTAAGTAGTTACCTTGGAAGGTTGTTAGACCTAAAAATATAACTAAATAACTCAAAATCGGAGTCTTGTAAGTCCCCGGGTTTTAATTTGAAAGGCCCAATTTTAATCTTAGACGCCGTCTTCTGCACAGCCTTTCCTTTTGCTTTTGAAGGGTCAACCCATGGCTCTCTACAATGAAGCCCTGGACGCCTTTCGGCCGTTCGACGTGTTTTAATGCCACTATGATCACCACGGCCAGATTTTGTGAACTTCCTCTTTTCCACGCCAATTTTCAACTGTGGAAAAGGGAATTCAAATATTACATTTAGGAATAATAAAAATTTAAGTATTTTACAACTATGTAAATAAATCCATACATAATAAATGTAAAAGATAACAAGAAACTCGATCTTGAAACTCCTAATCGCTTATCATACCTCGGGTTCACTGAAACTCTGTCCATCCGGTAATGGCGTCCAAGGATTTTTTTCATCAACTGCACCTTTCTCCTTTAATTGGCTACATTCTTCACCCTTCTTCTTCACAACATTCTCAACACCTTGATCTCGTATTTTCAATGGCATGTCCTCAGTTTCATTTACATCATGTGCCGGATGAAGATGTTGTCTTGCGTCTTTCATGAAGGATCTCATTTCACTCATTACCTTGTCCGTGAGTTCCAACACTGATCGCTTCACCTCCGCCTGTATTACCGGCGCCAATCTGATAGCAACTTGTTCAACAATTCTTTCAACGTTGACTCCGGACACTTCATTCGTTGGACGGTGCTTTGAAACAACCCGAACGGTAGGACTATCAAACCCACCTTGCTTTCTAACCCATAGAATCATTTTCCACACCGACTTATTGTCCCATGACACAATGGGATCCAAAGACTTATCAACATATACTCCACCATGGAGAATTGAATCGAAATAGAATAGTTGGAGAAAAAGCAGTGACCCATTTACATATGAAACTTTCTTCGTTTGGAAA